ATGTCTCGTCGTTGTCTTGGCTTATTGTAAGAACCGCCTCAAGATCCTCGCCTACTCGTTGTACCGTCTGTGCCAACTGAATGGGAAGTTCGCATTGACACCTTGCCGGATGGTCACTCCAACGGTTGATTATATTTGCTGCCGTTTCATACAGTATTCCTGTCCCCGTCATGTCATTGGCTTCCGCAGGTTCAACCGTTTGCACTTCCGGAATAGTTTCTTCACGTTGTCCCGCTTATACGGCGAGCAACGTCGGAGTGAGGCTGAAATGTTCGCTTTGTCACAGTGGTATTGTGGTAAAGCCACAACAACATCCTAAAGCTTTACACTTGATCCGCGCGCACCAGGCGAAAATCTTGCGCTGCATTTGTTGCCATCAGCACCGCCAGATTGACAATCATTCCACAAAGAATATATGTCATCGCCCATCATGTCTTGAAAGCTTTTGGTTCTATCCAGTCCACTTGAGTGGTATTTGATCCTTTTTCAGCAGTAGCTGTCAAGACGATCTTCCGCAACGTAGTCGGCGACTATGATTTGGCTCTCACCTTTGACGGGGCGTGCGGCCACGTCAATGAGCACAACTTGCATCTTGCGAACAGGCCTATATTCGTTCGGATAGGGTTTGGCAGATGTCTCTGTCGATGATCTACCCGTTCGTCAGTTGGACTCGTCCGCAACCGATTGGAGCATTTCGCAGACTGCCTCATGTGCCATCCGATCGCTGTGATCAACACAATGTGTTACAATCTCTACAAGATCTGCTGCGAAGGCAAGTACGCCCAACTTCCCGCCCCGTTTGTGCTTGCGCAAGGAGCCTATTGGCCTACTGTGCCGTATATCATGCAAATCATCATCCAAACCACTCAGCCACCTTCAGCTGGACATGCTGCGACCACTTACTTCCACATCTTCAAGCACATCTACCTTCACAAGAATAAGATGCCTGCCAAGGATTGCGTGGACATGTGCCAAGGCAACCCTCTCCGATTTGAATGGGGTTCCCAAACTCGTCTAGCAATGATGGGTCTCAACTGCATGTTGGACGAAATGGGTGGGAAGCAACTCCGTCATTGGGTCATTAAGGCCAAGTATGAGAACAAGATCACTGTTGACCACCAGGCGTGGGAGGAAGGGTACAAGTTCATCCGAGAGTTTGGTCCTGGTTCTCAAACAGGAACCAATGTATGGAATGGACGGATGAACAAATCCACCCGGCTGGTGGGAAGCTTGAAGGTTGGCGTGAGGGAAGGTCAAAGAGGCCCTTCACAACTACATGAAGGGACGCCAGAGTTCCAAGACATTGGAGTATTGGCCCTGTACTTTCACGTCCTTCGTTCCGTGGTTCTTTGGCAAGGTGCTTCTGAAGATGCTTCCCACAATGAGACAGCACGCAATCACTTGGATTGGTCGTACTCGAAGCAGCAAGTCCTTGGGTTCCAAAAGGGTGTTCTTCATGCAGTCAAAATACGAGGTTGAGGCGGCTGAACGTACAGACTGCACTCCCTCCATTGTGACGGAGAAACATCTAGATTGCTTGAAGTCGGAGCCGCTCACCAAGTACAAGCCTGGAGTATTATTCGGTAACGGAATGAATGCTTCACCGCATGGACGCCTCATTCTTGAAAGCATTCCTCTGTGTCTTGGCTTGTATATCAATATCATGATTCCGTTTTGCTCTGCTGTTTTTATTTGCATAGCCCCATTACGGCCCACCTTATCTGTGTAATGCGTTTCCTTCCTGATAGGAAGAAGATGCCACGGTGTGGGCACGCTACTCGTCTGCGCAATTTGATCAAGGATCCGGGCGACATGCTTGCAACAATCCATATGACCGTCAGACCGACGACGAGGTGTTCGGTAGTATGCACAGGGAGAACTTTGGGAAGATCCTTAAGACAAGTTTCTACAGCTCATCCAACCATCTTTCTGTGCAGTCGAAGACCCAGAGGACATGGACGCAATCATGGCACGCACTCACTTCATTCTCATCACAGATCATGGCCTATACTTTCGCGTAGTCCACAGCCTTCCTTCAAGGACGCCCGCACAAAGCAGATCGAACCCTTTGGATTCGTTTGCCTGCGGATGCTCGCAAGATCCTTGGAGTCACCAGCTCCACTGCCGTGGGGCGGCTGCAAAAGCCGATGTATGGGCTGGTTGACGCGCCGCGTGCCTGGTATGCCAAGACCGTGCGCCGACTCGAACGTTTTGGTTACAGACGTCACCGGCTTGACTCATGCTTTTTCCTCCTACACGACACCTCGGGTCGCCTGGTGTGCGCACTACAGCGCTACGTTAACGATCTACTTATGATTGGCAGTCGCAATGACGCCCGTTATTCCCAGGCCAAACGTGAGCTTCGCGATACTTTCGCCTTCAGGGAATTTCATGAGGGTGAGGCGTCCCTGGAGTACATGGGTGCTCGATTGGATGTCCTCCCTGATGGATCGTTCAAGTACCCCCAGCGACCCTACCTGGATAAGTTGCATCCTATCACCATCGAAAAGAGTCGCTTGGCTGACCCGTCTCAGGCTGTCACAGAAAAGGAATGCACGAAACTCCGTGCCCTTGTCGGAGGCCTGCAGTGGGCTGCCATTCAGTCCGCACCTCACCTGCAAGTTTAGACCTCTATACTTGCGGGTCAGGCCTCTCACGCGACGGTGGCAACGCTCCACGCAGCAAACAAGGCTTTCAGATTCGCGAAAGCGAACGAAGACGCGGGGCTTCTATATGCCCACTTGGGCCCTCTGGAAGACCTTGTGGTTTGTGCCTACAGCGACGCGTCATTTGCAAGCAGGGACGATTTGTCGAGCCAAGGAGGCTTCATCATCACACTTTGTCATAAGGACATGGTTCATAAGGGTGTGGCGGGAGCATACCACGTTCTGGATTGGCGGTCGTTCAAGCTGCCGCGTGTGGCCCGCTCCACTTTGTCAGCAGAAGGACAAGCAGCTGCTGAGGACGCTGACTCAGCTTACTTACCACGCTTCTGGTACCACTTCCCTGTTCCTGAATCTCAAGTTTGAGGCCGGCTTGGACTTGGCCTCCCCAGCAGCCGCTCAGATTCAAAGCAGCTCTGCACTCGTAGTTGATGCCAAAGCTCTCTTCGACCTGCTCACTAAAGATGTGCTTCAAGCTCAGCTGGGAGCTGAGAAGCGGACAGCGGTGGAGACCCTGGCCACGAAGCAAAGGCTTCTGGAGGCTGGTGCTGTACCAAAGTGGGTGTCGTCGGAGCGTCAGTTGGCTGACAAAGGAGTCGGCCGGCCGGCAGCTCTTAGCTGACAGACTGCGTACGCATCGCAATCGCGTAGCGGAGGACATCACCTACCAGGCCGCCAGGACGAAGGACCCCGAGAGGAGACAGGCCTCCGCAACAGAGTTTGCCCTCACGCGAGCGCAAACGAGCGCTGCAGTGTTCTTTGTCTCATCGGCCTCCATTCTTCCGACTCCGACTCCGCAGTCCCATGCTGTCGCGACCCTGAGGACTTACTCATCCTTTTGTTTACCTTCTGTATTGGATTTACTTATTTAACTTTTCCTTCTAAAGTGCTTGGCTGTGCCTTGGACTGGGGCCGCATCCTCTCCGAGACTGGGTGTTTCGTGAAGACTCTACTCAGTCTGCTGATGTGTCTTCTGCGGAGCAGACCTCGCAAGCCACAGTCGTCGCCGCAGATGCGGCCGTTTCTGCCCGTCGGCCGTCCACAGCAGATGTTGGTGTTGAGGCGAACTTTGGCCCAGAACTGCAGGTTGCAGATCGCCGGACCCAATCCTCAAGGGACACTGCCCAGGTGTCGGTTGCCGTTCAGACCGATGTTTGTGCCACGCGTATTCCACCACCACGGTAAATCCCAACACAGATGCCGGCGTACCGCTTGCACACCGTGTGTCCGAAAACCTGCGAGCGCACTTGAGTTCCGGAGGCGAGGTTTGGCATGCTAACTTGGGGATCGTTCGACAACGCACACAAAATCCACATTCAATCCGCTCATTGCTCCTGTGCCGATTCTGCATTGTCGGATACGGCCTTCCCCGGCTCATGCGAATGATTAGCGAAGGCTAGTCAAGTCCTCCGACTCCGTACGTGCACAAGGGAGTTTAAGTGCCTTGCTAGCCCTAAACCCCACGCTCTCAGTAGCGCCGATTCTCCATTATCTGTCCTAGGCCGTTTGCTTCCCAAGAGACAACACTAGCGCTCAGCGTTCGGGGACCACTCAGCTCAATGTACAGACGAAGGCTTTCTGTGTCGGTCATAAGCCGTTACACCTTTCCTGAGAGCCACCGGTGTGAGTTTTTCACCCAAAATCCTGTGTGAACTTGCCTGACATGACCGGCTCGGCTGTCTACGTGGCCTTGGATGGCTCGAGGGGTGCACCTGTGAAACAGGTGCCTAGGGTCTTAGCCTAGGCTTGTGAGTCAGTGCGCTATGCCGCACGCCAGCAGTAACGCGTGCACATCACCGAGAAGCAAAAAAGGTTGGAGTGCCTAACCTGTGAAACCACATTATTTCTCTTCTTTCTCTCGGTCACAACTCCGTTTCTTCAAGTGTTGCTGCCTCATCAAAAGCAGCGCCAGCCAAGCCAATCGCCCCAAGCATATGCGGACAGCTGGCCACGGGCTAGTCGTGCCAGTCCTCCAAACATGCACAGGCTCCCTGAAGAGAAGCAGTGCTATTGCACCACTTCATCTTGGATTGTCATGCACAGGACCAGAATGTGCAGTTTCGAGCTCTCCTCGGAACGTTTTCCAAAACAGCACATTGTACTTGCTTTACCATTTCGAGCTCAATAAGACTCCGACTAAATTTGACGACGGGAGCCGTGTACTGTGTACTGTACCTGGAAGTGTGCCGATCATCGCTGGGAGGTTGGGCAGGGGTGGGGGGAGGTGGGGAAGGCAGGGGGAGGGAAAAACAGCACGTAGGGGTCTCTGTGGCCCTGAGCAAAAACAGGGATACTGCAGCCCGGGCTGAAGCGAACGAGGTTCTCATAAAACATCAGGCGAAGATCCAAAAAGCCAAGGCCAAGAATGCCAAGGTCACCAAAGGTGCGGGATTCGTACCCGCGGCGACCTAGCTGTGCTGTCGCTTGACGAAGGCCTGAAACGCAGTGCTTCTGGACCTCCAGACCGAGCAAAGTCCCCAGTGCAGCAGAACATTGCACAGCGGTCACAGGGGCAGCGTTCTGAGGCTGGAAGGGAAGAGGACAGATTTGACAGAGCTGCATTTCGTGTACAGCTTGTTGCACCTTGCAGGGCAAGCCCAAAGCCAAGGCGAAAGCCCGTTCCCAGAGCGCAGGCAAGCAAGTGAAGTGCAGGGCAGTAATGACAATGTTAACAGGGCTTCAGCCCGCTGCGACTCGGTCGCGCCCGACCTGGGCCACCTGCGTTTCGACCCTCCAAATTTGGTGCAGCATCGTTGAGCGGAAACTAGTTTTTGGTTTTCGGCCCCGCCAGGGAGGCGAGGCTTGAAGCGGGCTGCCGGGATGGAGTGACAGTGTGTGCCTCATGAAAACATGCTTCGCCTCCTTCAGCATCTCACGGCTTTGGGCCCTTGTGATCAGGACGACAAGACGCACCGTGAGCGCGACGACAGCGCCGGACGATCTGACCAACAGCAGTGTCTATACTCAGAGCTTCATGCTCGGTCGATGCGAATGCAGCCGGGCTTAGCCCTGCCAGCGTGACAGGACAATTGACCAAGTGTCTGCAAAGAAATTAAGCATTCAGAAGGGCTCCGTCCTTCCCTGCCGAGACAAGAAGACGAAAGGGGGACATGGACAAAATGCGGATGAGAGAGCGCGAGCTACCGTCATGATTGTGTTAAATGTAGTCCATGGATGAGCCCAAAAGCCATTTACGTAACCTGCTGGAACATACAGACACTACAGGGGATTAAAATTAATTAAACTTTCGATGGAAGTGGCTTGCTTTTCAATTTATGCATTTTTGTTTGGAAGCCCCTGAAAAGTATGAATCCTCGCTTGAGGAAGCATACCGCCCTGCTGAATGAACCCCTGTCCCTGAATAAGGATTAAGACAGGAATCCGAAACATTGGAAGAAAGTATGTGTTTGTTGATCAGGGCTCTGCAGCCTCTACGTGCATCCTTCCGGCTCGAGCAAGCTATCCCCCATGTGCCCATGCAAGAGAATCTCTGCAACACAAACCAAGCGAGAAGTGCAGACATTGAGCTCGATCTCGATTTCCACGCCTGACAACAACACTATGAAGAGACTTCTTCAGGCAGATGGAGATCGAGCTGCGATGCCCCATCTGCCATGAAACTTTAAGAGCCAGCCGCTTGGTCCTGGGGGCCCGGCTATGCTATGTGCTTTGCAAAGAACCAAGGACCCGGTGACCTTGGAGTGCTCCCACCACGTCTGCGTCGCAGACTCGACTCGTTTAAACGTGGCGCCCAAACCCCTGGGGGGGGCCCGGGGGCCGAGGCTGCTCACCTCGAGGATACGAGCAGCTTCGCCTGTCCCGTCTGTGGCGCCTGGGCCCCTGGCCGCCCTGGCCACCCTGGCCACCCTGGCCTTCAAGACACGCCTTAAGCGGCATCCTTCGGCCTTCGCACTCTGTCAAGGAGCAGACGGTGTTCTCGGAAGGAGTCAAGCTGGCGCTGGCCTCAGAAGTGCCGCTCCTCGGTGTTGGTCGCCGCGGTCGCCTGCGGGGGCCGGGGAAGAAGTCACGATGCAAGAGACCTCAGCACATTGTTGGGATATGATGGGGTGACATGGCGACACGTTTTTCTGTCGCTGTACCCCCACGTGTCGCTGTACATGCTTAGCTTGGGTTGCAGCCTACGGCTACTTGTGGTTGTGTGGTCCCCTAACCATGGGCAAGCCAGATCTGCCCATATCTGCCCCTGCTCGGCCCTGCCCCTGCAGAAAGGGTTTAGGGTCGCAGACAGGGTGAGCCTGAGCGGTGGGACGATGTGACTTTCAGTGGCAGGACCGCGTCTTGAAGCTCGTCATCGAGACATTTCAGCAGACGAAGGATCGCAGATGTCAGAGTCACCAATCCGAGTCCAATCTCAGATTTTTTCGGAGGCCGACGAAGCGCCGCCAAAGTGCGGGCACTGCGAGGCTCGCAGCTTTTCACGGCTGAAATTCCAGTTTTCGAAGTCGTGGGGCCCGAGCTCTTCAGCCTGTGCTGACTGGATTTTTGCATCTGGCTTCCCCTGAGCTTTTCGAAAGCTGCAGGAGCCTTTTGAAGGGTTTCAGGTGCAAGGCGCATGTCACCATGACTTGCAAAGAGAGCTCTTGAATCTTGAATGCATGCTGGGGCAGAAGCGACAGCTTTGAGGAAAAGCTGGCCTCACAGCGATGCCTGACGTGCGATGGAGTTCTCTGTGAGGAGTGGTTCCGACAAGACGTTGAAGCATGCAAATCAAAGCTTTTTGCAGGACTGCGTGCAAGCCACGCACTCACGAGGCACCTCAGCCTACACAGCTCTCAGCAAAAAAGATGCAGCTCCTGTCAGGCTACTTCCGCAGCCACCAGATCGTTGACCTCCGGAATGCCGCCTGGACCTCGGAGTCGGAGGGCCCTGTTTGGTTGCAGAGCTCAAGCCGGAAAGACTTGCGCTTAGAGCTCAGAGACCAGAGGCCGGGAGCCGAGTCTCCTCCAGGCCAGGGCCCTCGGAGGGCTGAGACTGAAAGCGAAAGCGAAAGCGCCCCGCCGCGCCGCCTCAGTCTCTGCCTTTTTCTGCGGAGGATGGTCTGCCAGGAGCACTCCCAGAGTCTCGTTGGGAGCTCACCTGAGCTGCACCGCCGTTGGAGACGTCCATACGGCCGTCCTCAAGGATTTCTACTGCCTGGAATGCCGAAGTCCTGTCTGCCGCCTTCCTGAGCGAAAGGCCGCAAGGGCGCTGAAGAGAGCTTAGGGCTTATATAAGCCTAGGCTCACACTGTTCGATCTTCGGTGAACATCGAGATCACCAAAAGACGAACTTGGACAAGGCAGTTCAGACCGGGAAGGACTCGGGCCGGGCTCCGTCTAAAGCAGCTCTTCGGGGTCCCGTGTCGACGCGAGGAGACTCTCCAGGCATGGATCGACCGGCTCAGCCAGCGCATCACCAGCGCCGAGGCGCCTGGGCGGCTGCCGCCTGCTCCTCGCATTAAACCTCGAAATTTCTGTGGCGATCGCATCAGAATCAGGAGCTGCTGGAATCCTTCCACGAAGCGGACAAGGACAGGCTAAATTACGTCTACTCTGCTGTAATTTCATGTATTTTCAGATTGCACTGTCACCGGCAGGCTTCCAGTGCTGGCACTCAGCGAACATGGTAGCATTGGCACAGGAAATCACGCAGAAGGGGGAAGCTCAACGGGCCATCGCCCGGTTGCCTAAGCTCCGGTTTTTGTGGCACAGCGTAGCGCAGCGTCGCGTAGATACGCATGGCCCATGGCCAGGTGAATAACGAGATGGACCACTTAAGGTCTGCGGCTCAGTGAGAGCATCCGGTCGTGGCTTTGGGAGTAATGGCGGGCAATTGATGACGTGTTGCGCATTGCAGAGCATTGCAGATCATTTCCTGGCCTTGCGGCCTTGCGTAGCGGCGTAGCGAGCGCAGGGAGCTCATCGAGACGAAGCGGCGGCAACTTCTGCAGAAGTCCGCCCTGGAGGACGCAGACCCAAAAACGCTCCAGTCGCCGCCGTCGCGTGAGCCGCACACGCTCCCGATAGGAGAAGCAGAAGCGTGTGCAGCTGCAGGCCAGGGGCCTCAGCCGCCTCAGCCCAAACGAGCCACTCCGCTTTGCCATCATGCCACCCCCGACACACTGCAGATAGCCCTGGGACACTGAGTCGAACTTGATGATTTTGTGGATGCCGGTCGTAAAACCAAGACTGTATATGACGAATCCGTGCCTTCCCTGCGCGAGTGGGTCAGTCGAAAATTCTAAATGATCAATTCGGAGTTAGACTTGATAATCTTGATTTCTAAAGGTTAAAACGAATTGAGACAGGTTCAATTAAGACAGACGGCAATGGGAACAGGGTCGTCAATGGGTATTGTAAGCTATATGGTGGTTGAACTCCAATAGGTGCTTATGATGCTGATGGATTCGAAACGCCAGGCAGTGATGATTATAGTATGGCACTAGAGCAAATTATTAGAGAAGAGCGGAATTAGAAACACATCAACAACGACAGCGAAGGGCACAACAAAGGTCAATAACCGAAGTAATGGACAATGTAGACGTGTCATAGACAGCAAGTGCCTGAAGGTCTTCGAATTCAATCAATGGGCAAGCGATAGAGCAGATGATGGTGATGATGAAGATGAAGATTTACCACCTTTAGGAACACCTACTGAAGTAGCAGAAGAAAAGGAAGAAGACGAAGAAGATGAAGAAGAGGAAACGCATCTGGCAAGAACTGTACGGAAACAATAGGTTATTGTGAATGCACCCTCTGTTGTACATGTACAGGAAGCCATGGCCATGACATGCATGTGTTAACTGTATATATGCTCTCGGGTCCCGGGCCGCCACCCCCCCCCCCGTGGCCGGCTTAAACAGGATATAGTCGCCAGCTGAAACTGTGGGTTTTCATTGCATACTATAGACGTAGGTATATCGCGATTGTACTGGACCGACGTCTCTCTATACATACTCAATACAAGTATAGAATCTTTCGTCTCGCCTCATCGACATTGGTGGGGCTCCTTGGAATGTAGACAGACGGATCAAGAAAGGGTGGAGATTCCCCCCAACCCTCAACGAAAACACGGAGAAAGTCCCTCCAAATCATTCAGCTGATTCCTAGCAGCGAGCTCCTCTACCTCCCTGTAAGTCTCCATCTCCTCTGACGATAAATGAAGGGAGCTCGCTGCTTCGTCATCCGCAAGTCCGCAAGAAATGAGCTTCTTATCCCCAAAAGGGTAAGGAAGAGGTCCCTTGGCACATCCTCTACCGCAGCATCTCAAAGGAGCAGAGAACCCTTCCAACTTACGGGAAAAAAAGAACTCCGGCTGCCTCTCAGTCGACAAGAAGAGAGAGGAGCTCCTTGTCGTCCCCTCTTCCTCCTCAAGGGATAGAAGAGAGATAGCTTTCAAGAGCTGAGGACTGAGCTGTCCGGGTTTCGTGTGCGATGCTGAAATGTCGTGGCTGAGCCCGCGCTAAGGCCAACGCGGCCGCCGATCGTTCTGATCGATATGCGGCTTCCAGGCCAGCGCTTCGAGCGAGAAGTCGCCGGCAGACTCTTCGGCGGCTTGGTCTCAATCTTCACAAGAAGAGTCTGATCCTCCCCCTAGCCTTCAATAAGACATGAGCAGCCCTCTACCCCATCCTCTGAACTAGCTTCCAAAAAAATCCTCTGCCTCATCCTCGACAAGAAGAGACTAAGAGCAATCTAAAGGGGCAGAAGAAAGCGCCATCTCAACAAAGCAAACAGGCCGCTCCAACTTCACGAGAAAGAAGAGGGCTCCGTTTACCCCTCGGCAAGAAGAGACCTCCTTTCTTTCTTGAAAAGGGGAGGACGCTCAAGAAGAAAGGGTGGAGCTCCCCCAATTTTCAAGTAGAGACATCTGGTCATCCCTCAGCATTTAAAAGGAAAAGACCTCATGCTCCAAAACACAAGAAGGGAGTCCCAAGGTGATTTGTGGCAACAGAAGAGAGCATCCTTCTTACCTCTTGGTATGTCGCCTTTTCGTCTTAAGAAGATTGAGGAGACCTCGCTCCTAGCAAGAAAGGATAGAGCTCCCCTAGCTTCCAAAAAAAGATTTTCTACCTCATCCTCCACAAGAAATCACTGAGAGCTTCCTCCCACCATCTCCTCTGACGATAAATGAAGGGAGCTCGCTGCTTCGTCATCCGCAAGAAATGAGCTTCTTTTCCCCAAAAGGGTAAGGAAGAGATCCCTTGGCACATCCTCTACCGCAGCATTTCAAATGAGCAGAGAACCCTTCCAACTTCACGGGAAAAAAGAACTCCGGCTGCCTCTCAGTCGACAAGAAGAGAGAGGAGCTCCTTGTCGTCCCCTCTTCCTCCTCAAGGGATAGAAGAGAGATAGCTTTCAAGAAGTGAGGACTGAGCTGTCTCAATCTTCAAAAGAAGAGTCTGATCCTCCCCTTAGCCTTCAATAAGACATGAGCAGCCCTCTACCCCATCCTCTGAATTAGCTTCCAAAAAAATCCTCTGCCTCGAGGATTCGACAAGAAGAGACTAAGAGCAATCTAAAGGGGCAGAAGAAAGCGCCATCTCAACAAAGCAAACAGGCCGCTCCAACTTCACGAGAAAGAAGAGGGCTCCGTTTACCCCTCGGCAAGAAGAGACCTCCTTTCTTTCTTGAAAAGGGGAGGACGCTCAAGAAGAAAGGGTGGAGCTCCCCCAATTTTCAAGTAGAGACATCTGGTCATCCCTCAGCATTTAAAAGGAAAAGACATCATGCTCCAAAACAAGAAGGGAGTCCCCAGGTGATTTGTGGTAGCAGAAGAGAGCATCCTTCTTACCTCTTGGTATGTCGCCTTTTTGTCTTAAGAAGATTGAGGAGACCTCGCTCCTAGCAAGAAAGGACAGAGCTCCCCTAGCTTCCAAAAAGAAAGATTTTCTACCTCATCCTCCACAAGAAATCACTGAGAGCTTCCTCCCACCATCTCCTCTGACGATAAATGAAGGGAGCTCGCTGCTTCGTCATCCGCAAGAAATGAGCTTCTTTTCCCCAAAAAGGTAAGGAAGAGATCCCTTGGCACATCCTCTACCGCAGCATCTCAAATGAGCAGAGAACCCTTCCAACTTCACGGGAAAAAAAGAACTCCGGCTGCCTCTCAGTCGACAAGAAGAGAGAGGAGCTCCTTGTCGTCCCCTCGTCCTCCTCAAGGGATAGAAGAGAGATAGCTTTCAAGAAGTGAGGACTGAGCTGTCTCAATCTTCAAAAGAAGAGTCTGATCCTCCCCTTAGCCTTCAATAAGACATGAGCAGCCCTCTACCCCATCCTCTGAATTAGCTTCCAAAAAAAATCCTCTGCCTCATCCTCGACAAGAAGAGACTAAGAGCAATCTAAGGCGGCAGAAGAAAGCGCCATCTCAACATAGCAAACAGGCCGCTCCAACTTCACAAAAAAGAAGAGGGCCCCGTTTACCCCTCGGCAAGAAGAGACCTCCATTCTTTCTTGAAAAGGGGAGGACGCTCAAGAAGAAAGGGTGGAGCTCCCCCAATTTTCAAGTAGAGACATCTGGTCATCCCTCAGCATTTAAACGGAAAAAGCCTCATGCTCCAAAACAAGAAGGCAGTCCCCAGGTGATTTGTGGCAGCAGAAGAGAGCATCCTTCTTACCTCTTGGTATGTCGCCTTTTCGTCTTAAGAAGACTGAAGAGACCTCGCTCCTAGCAAGAAAGGACAGAGCTCCCCTAGCTTCCAAAAAGAAAGATTTTCTACCTCATCCTCCACAAGAAATCACTGAGAGCTTCCTCCCATGTAATGAGACGCAAGAGAGCTTCATCTCAGCCCAGCAGACAGGCCCCTCCAACTTCACGAGAATTCAAGGTCTCCGTTTACCCATCGGTCGGAAAGAAGATAACTCCTTTCTCTCTTCATAAGGGGTTGGATCTTGAGCATTTCTTTTACCTTTTCAAAAGATGGAGAACAGCATACGCACAAGAAGAAGAAACCTCCTTTCTCTCTTGGCAGTGGAAAGAGATCCTGATTACTTCCCTTACCTTTTCAAAAGATGGAAAAGGGCATACGCTCAAGAAGAAAGGGCGGCGATGCCCCACCCCTCAACGAAAACACGGAGAGAGTCCCTCCAAGTCATTCAGCTGATTTCTAGCAGCGAGCTCCTCTCTCTCTTGGTAGGTCTCCATCTCCTCTGAAGAGAATTGAAGGGAGCTCGCTTCTAGTCGAAGAAGACAAGGCTCAACGCATCTCCAGTTTCAATAAGAACTGCGGCTGCCTCTTCGTCGACAAGAAGAGAGAGGAGCTCCTTGTCGTCCCCTCTTCCTCTTCAAGGGATAGAAGAGGGATAGCTTTCAAGAAGTGAGGACAGAGCTCGCTCAATCTTCAAAAGAAAAGTCTGATCCTCCCCTCACCCTTCAACAAGACATGAGCAGCCCTCTACCCCATGCTCTGAATTAGCTTCCAAAAAGACAAATCCTCTGCCTCATCCTCGACAAGAAGAGACTGAGAGCGTCCTCCAAACTAATGGTACAAAAGAAAGCGCCATCTCAACAAAGCAAACAGGCCGCTCTAATTTCATGAGAAAGAAGAGGGCACCGTTTACCCTTCGGCAAGAAGAGACCTCCTTTCTTTCCTGATATGGGGAGGGGGTCCTGATTGTTTCCGTCGCCGTTTTAAAGATGGAAGAGAGCATACACTCAAGAAGAAAGGGTGGAGCTCCCCCCAACTCAAGAAGAAAGGGTGGAGCTCCCCCCAATTTTCAAATAGAGACATCTGGTCGTCCCTCAGCATTTAAAAGGA